TTCCCAAACGCCCAGCCCTCCCAGCCAGCTGCAGAAAGAGCGTTTATGCTGTGACTTTTACCTGAGCACATCAGTCACGTTCAGGCCATGAGGGCTGATGCTCGTCTTGCTTTTAATTTGCACTTGCCATTTCTCCGGAGCTGCCGGTGTCTTTGCTGCGCGGTGCAGTTGTCAGTCGTAGTTTCCGTGCGGTGACGGACTGCGCTCTGCTGTGAGCAGTTCTCAGCTTGAGAAGTTTACTTTCTGGCGAAGTTAGTAAGGCAGGCTCTCGTGGGGGAGAGGGGGCTCTGTGCGCTCGCTTGAATGTGTCTGTTCTTCAGAGCAAAGAAAGCATCAAAGGTAGTTTCTGTCTTGTTTTTCTTGCGTTCAGCTAACTGGATGCTTGGGCTCAACAATATTAGGCACGAAAATACCTGCCAAAACTAGGGTGTCTGTAACTCCATAGGTGAGAGCTGCTTGTTTCAAAGAGCTGGTGGTGAAGGGCCACAGCTGGGTCGGTGGCCTGTCCCCCGCAGAGCTGGTCACAGGGATGGAGAGCCCGTGAGGCGGGAGAAGCTGATCTCCACCAGGAAAGCCCAGGAGTATCCTACCACAGCTAACAGATGGAGCTGTGGTAGGCTGCTGGCAGCTTCCGCTTCTTCCCTTGTTTTAAGTTTCCAGAGGTGGAAGTTCAGTTTTGTGCTACTTTTTATCACAGACACAAAAAATACGTACCAAAGCTCTTAATGTTTTACGCGACATCTAGGGATGTCTGTCAAAAGTTGTCAGGAGGCGTTTGTGGGAGTTGGCTTGCTGAGCTAAAGTGCTCGCAGTGCAGTCTGATCGCTATCTCCTAATGGCTTTTTGGTCATAATAAACATCAATATGCTGTATAGGCTGATTTTTTTTTACCTTGATATATTAACACAGACATTTCTTCTAAGTGTAATTGCTGTTGTACTTTAGAAGGAACAGCGACTTTCACAGCTGACCAGTTTCGAATACTATTCATGCACATTTGAGGCCAACCTAATGTAGCAAAAGAATTAATTTGAAGAGCTGCTTTCATTGTGTCTGTCTCTCTTTTAACAGCTCTGATGACAAGTCACAGAGAATCAACAAAAGCAGATGGCTGGAGGTGGCTTTTGTTGCTTTGGGGAGTAGTCTATTGAACGGTGAAAGATTAGAAGACAAGCACATTAACACGAAACACAAAAACTTATGTTGTGCTAAATTGTATTAAAACTTCATTTGGGAGAAGTTTGAAAAATTGTGGGGTTTAAGCACTCTTAAATTCACTATACTTACTTGATACTGAAAGTTCATTTTTTCCAAGTCGAGATACGAAGTTCCAAGCACAGCAATCAGAGATGCTCAGAAGGTCATAATGTACCAGCAGAGGTTTGCCTGATTATGTATAATGCTCTGGCAGAACATTCATGGGGACAAAAAGAAGACTGTACCGCATCTTGTGTGACATGTCAAAGGTGTGCCAAGTATAACGTTTTGAGCTAATGCATAACAGCATTGGTTAAATTGAAGGCTGCCTAAACATTAAAACCTGTTTTGGATGTATTGACTGAACCTTTTTGGTCGTTACAGGGATTTTCTGAAGGCTTATATACATTTCTACAAAACATGTCTCACAAGGATTTAACTTGCGGGATGAGAGAATATCAGTCTCCTGAGGAACATGAATTAGTACTGAATAACTGAATGTTTGTTCTGGGTTTTTTTAGTGCTGCAGTGAATGTTGTTTCCCCTTAACGTCTCCATCTTGTTAAATTAGATGTCAAAACCACTTAAATTTTATTTTAGTCTTGCTGTGCATACTACTTTTTCAGGAGTATGATGGCGTCACTGCTTAGTTTGAAGCTCTCTAGAAGCCATGCACAATATTGTGACTTTATCCCAAACCTGCCAGGAGCAGAATGTAATCTGTGTAGCCTGCACCCAGTGGTCTTCAGGAGTAACTCTAAACGCAGTTCCAACTTAAAATTTCTGTCCTTCTGGGGGCTTATCTAATTTTAGACTGATTTTATTTTTTTAAGGGTGTTTTTGGGAGTCTCTGGCTTTTTGTGACTTTATATCACTTTTATCAGAGAGTTCAGAAGTGAGTGTAATGAGATCAGTATGGCATTCTTCATTTCTTTTGACTGGGCAGACTAATCCTGTAGTATATTTAGTACTTGCAAATCTAGGATTTTCTTTCTAGCTAAACACTAGACCAGAAATTATAATTCACAGTTTCTGGGATGCTGCACCAGTATGTTGAGGTATGATAGGGAAAGGAACTGGTCAAATCTTGCACCTTTTGATAGTGCACGCTCTTAAGGTGAAGGTCACTAGAATGCCTGCAGTGGCAGTGCAGTTTCTGTGCAGCTGTCTCAGTGTTGCGAAAAATCAGGGGAGTTTAAATCATGGTGCTCAGAAAAGGACTGTGGTATTTTTTACTCACTTAGCGTAAGTATAGGCATGTATTTTCAACTCACATGATTATTGTGGAATTTATTTTGTACATTTATGAAAAAGTAATCTGCCTTTTGAACGTCTCAAACTGGTGCATGGTTCATGTGTCATTAAATTAGAAACTGCAGGAAAACAAAGAACCATCTGGAGACTTGGTGGGAGGGAGGTTGAGGTTTCTGGTTAAATGTACTATCAACAGGAAAAACTGTAAAGAGTGTTTCGGCTACAAAAGGAGGGAAAGTGGGCTGGGCATTTTGTCTGATTGGGTTTTTTTTGTTGTGTTTTTTTTTTTTTTTTAACCACCTTTTCATCATTAGGTGAAGCATCAGAATGAAAGACATGGACAATATCAAAACTGTAAAGAAAGAATGGTAGGTACCAGTTCCCCCCTCCCCCTTTTTCCTTTTCCTTTCCTACTGCTGTTTGTGTGTCCTGTCATGAATTTTCAAACTTTATGTTAAATTTTAAAATTGTAGGGGTTTTTTTCTGTATCCATCTGCTCCACATATACTGAAGTTTAAAAAAAAAAATAAATCGTATTTTTCACATACCTGGAATGTTTCCTAGATGCAAGAAGCCATATAAATATTTTTATTTAAAATAGCAAAGCAGCCTTACAAATTGCTAACTCCATGTCCACCTCTGCATTTGATATGTATGAAGGTATTTGGGTTTCCAAAGTTTTGGTTTCCGAGGTAAGGCATAGTGAATACCTAGATTAATGCTTCAAGTTTGTTTTGTTCTATTAGGAAACTAAAATGGCGACAGCATACTTTTGAAATTTTGTCTTTAATGTTGCTGAGTTTTTCTTTTGTTTGAAGATGTTAATCTGTAGGGATTCTTAGTGTTGCATGGATGCACTGCAAACAATTCCTTTTTATGCAAATGTATCTAATTACCATTCAAGTAAGCGTTACTGTTCTTGAATTCAATGCAGAGTTTTATGTAAAACTGGATAGTTTTCAAGAGCTGGGATTTTTTTTTTCTTAATTGCTTAAAATAGACTTTTCTGAATCTCCAATAGGAATAGCTCCTGCAATGTTTACCAAAAGCTGCATAATCCTCTTATTATGCAAAGAACCCAAACTGCAAGATAATCATTCATTCAGGTTGCATATTTCTGCATTTTGATTGGTGAAAATCTAACAGAAACAGCTGTCACATATACAATGTTCTATCAAAAGATGTGCTTGATGCATCTTTTTTAATACTCTGGCAGTCTCCATGCTGTTGAAGTCATCTGTTGTATTTCTTCAGTGTGCTCAAGTGGTGCTGGGTCGCTTGTTCTTGAGTTTCTCTACTGTACTTTCAGAGACAGTAATGGGGGTTCTGTGATGGTGCTGGCAGTGGGGAAGTTTGAGGGGGGAGTAAATCCTAGGGCAATTTTCTTGTATGTGGTTTTTAGAACTTACAGCAAAAGAAGTCACCCAGGTCTCTAGCATGGAAATGCTTTAAGGAAGGCCTTTCATTGGTGTGCAGTTAAAGGTTTGATGGTCTGAATTAGAAGTACGAATCATCTAACTTGCATTCTTTGCTCTGATACCAAGTTTAGAAGCTCTTCTGTTGTCATTCTTTAACTTGTGCTTCTGAAGTGCAAATAGTAGCAGCTAGAGTTTTGTGAGAAGTTTCTAGAAAAGGCACAATGCAAAGTTGACCTGATGTTTTGTAACAACCAAGTAAGCTGGGCGCAGGGGAGCATGCCTTTTGCACTTCTTGGTACTGAACTTCTAGGGTCACTGCTCATCTTTTAACGTGTTCTCTGAGGCATCTTTTTTACTTGTATCTTTGTTCTGCAGGATGTGTAAATCAGGAACCGATGGTCAGATTTTGAATGGTACAGAACAAAACCGTGACTACTTTGTAGATAACCTTTTTGAAGAAGCTCAGAAGGTTGGCGCTATATGTATGCCCCCAACTACAGTCAAGACCCAGGTAGGCAGTGAAGAAAAAATACTCATGTTTGACATAATAGCACTCCAGGACTACTGTGGAAAACAACTGCAAGAAGTCCAGCAGTCTTATCCAGTACATCTGTAAGTAAGCAAGCAAGCACAGAATTCAGACAACAGTAGGAACAGTCTTCCATCTCTTAATCAACCAGGCCTATGCTTCCGTGCTTCTGGCTCTTACTGTTTTATGGTGGGTTTAGTGTTGTTCTAGGACTTAGTGCTGGCATTGGCTAATGCACTTCTGCTTTATTAGTAAGGAGAGTAAGCTGATTGTGAGGTGCAAGGAATGACAACTTCTGTTACATAAGAAATGTTTAAAGACTTGCAGCCTTTTTATGCAAAGGCATAGCCCAATTTTTTTCATTTGCTCTCATTTGTATAGTTGTAGTCGTAGTGGGATGTTTAGTATGGGTTTGTATCTCAGTGATTCTGTCCTTTTCATACTTTTCTGTTACTCCCCAAAGACTGGTAAGGGGCTGGAGAAAAGGCCACGCAGAACAAAGATGCCAAAGAGAAATTTGGAGTAGACATTGCTAGAAATGGCATTCATGGATCCCCAACTGAGCCTGGGAGAAAAGGAGTGTCAGGAGCAAAACCTTAAATTGCAGTTCTGAAACAGTGTTCCGTGGCAGCACTTCTGTCAATGTCTAAACGGGAAGTTGTGGAGTAATTAGTCCATGTTAAACTTGCATACTGGCTCACTGTAGAGGAATCTTCCTGTGATGAGAACTCCTTCCATATGTATTGTTGCCATGAGACACAAGACTTTTTAAAGAAATCTAATCTTGCTGAGTGCTATATACCTTTTTGACAGATGACCCAACCAAAAGAAAAAGAATTTTATTCATCAGTTTGCGTATGCTGTGTATTTATGTAGCAACCACCTTCTAAGAAGTCAAACTGTAAAAAAGGAGGGGGGAAAAAAAAAAAAGATAAAATAGTCAAGTACTATCGAGCCTACTTCAAACTAATTTCCAGCCGAGGTGAATTCAGCATTTGTACATGCTTTATATACCTCACATGGGGCCAAGTATCTGTCAAGACAATGTTATTTCAGGGGTCAGACCTGGATGATGAAATGCTTCCTTAAATGTCATGGTGCATAAATGTGAAAACACAGTCCCAAATACATCTACGTTAAAGGTGGAGAGATTTTGGTGAACAGTGTGAAGGCTGCAAGTTGAAGTAGTGGATGTTCTCTGGCAAAGTTAATGAATTACTGAAAATTTATTTTTTCATTCCCTTAACACCAAAGTTTTGAATATACCTAGGAATTCCAGGGTAACATAAACGTAGGACTCTCTAAAAGTAAATTTTCTGATGCTTGCTGTGTTTCCTGAGTGAAGAGCTTCTGCATGCAGCATCTCAATGCCTTACTTTCAGAATATCCTCCTGAATGATCAGAACAAGGCTTTACCCTAATAAATCCCCAGCTGGACTATTCTGGTAGCTGGTGTTCCAACACGAGGCATGTGTGCTCTCAAATTAGCTCTTGAGGAGTTGCAGCTGGCTGGGATCTTCCAGCTCTTTTTTTTG